TTTCAATCGCTCTCCCACGAGATACACTCACGTTAATCTTACTGTCGTAGGTGAGTTACTTCTGTTATATCTTCCCTAAAATGTTTTATGATAACTTTTACCAAATCTTGTCTTCGAAAAGCGAGATAAATTACGGAGCATGTCCCCCGATAATAAAATAATTTAAACGCGTTTTTCGCAACAGGATTACTAATGGAGTTTTACTGTACTTGTGAACCATCAGAGTTATAACTCCAAAACTATTTGTCCTCCACATTCTTTGACCTACACAGTAAAATCCTTGTAGAAGAAATCAATACCGTACCTTTCTTATGACTGCCTCATTACTTGTTGCACCTACTTCCCCATTCCGATCGACCAATAATTTAAGCGAAATAAATGGCATAAATTAATATACGAACCGTTGTTTGTGTAAAGGAATCTCACGGAGAAGGAACGGAATTTATAATTTTAATTTAATTGCGTCGCATTGCGCTCTCAATTGCATCTTTAGAATGCCGAATGCATCTAGAAATTAGAGAAAAATTTCAAGATAGGTATTTTCCTCAACGGTTTCGGTGACGTAAAGCTTCCGTCGCTTTGCATAAGCTGACGTGGGACTTTCACCCGATTTTCGTATTTTTTGTATGTTAAAAACCGTTATAGCTCGCGCTATTTTTAATTAAATGGCCTTACAATTTTCAATTTGAAGTTTATTATCGTTGCCTAAGGGTAAAACTGTTTACAAGTCTAAAAATAAAAAATAAGGGATGCAGAAAGGCACAATTGGAAGTGTTCCAATTTCGTCGAGATGCCCGAAATTCGTATGTATTTCGTTCAGGTAAAGATTTTCGATATTTATAACGTAATCTTAATCGCTTTGGGACATCGTTTTAAAAATCTGAAGTTTTAAGAAAGCTTACTTTTCCCAATTTAGTTTTACGGTTTGGTGATGGTATTGAGGGAAAAGGCAATCGTGTTACGGTAAAACGTGTGCGTAAAATCATCAAATTTTGACTTGTCTTCCACGTATGATCTATAATTCAAAGGTGTAAATAATTTAATACGAAGTTTCCTGGAAAGCGGTTATGTGTACATAATAAAGATTCATATTATATTAAATGGTTTAAGCGTGCATTAAATTCAAAGAGAACGCATCTCCGATTTCTAATGGCCGTACTTTTCCGGAAATTGTTACCTTTAAATATTTAGGGAGACGCTTCTGGCGAAAATGCGGATTACTTCTAAAGAGAAAGTGCCTCATTAGCGTACGATGTTATAAGTACAAATGTACAATTTCGCGATTAGGAGAACCCACGGAATCGACGCAACATTAGGCACTTTCTTTATCTCCTTAACAGCGCTTTACACAAAACATGGACGCGGCTTTCTTAAAATTGTAAATTTCGTAAGGTAACTTTGTATCTAAATGAGTTCAAACATCTTGCAGTACAAAAGTATACAGATTGTTACTTCGTTTCGAAACAAAATAATTTAGATAATCCGTTCTTCCATTTGTCCACAACCTTTCAGTAAAATGGCATTTCTATTTCCAATTGCAAATTGGAAATTTTTTTAATTTTAGATGTGCTGTCTTCGTGCTGTCACTCAATTCAAAATGAGATAAGCTGAGAGGAGACATTTGACTAGACGTCTCCTTAGAAAAAACGAAGCTTCTTTTACAGGTGCCAAATTGGTTGTGTCTAACCTACATTTCTTTTTAGTTATGTATGTAACGGGTTGTTTGTTTTTGGGGCTTAATTCCCTTAAAGGGTTGTAATTCTTTATTGGGACTTGGAACTTAAATTTTGCGTTCTTTTGTCAGATTTAGTGGGATGCAACAATTACTATTATATTTATTACCATCGACTAGCTCAGATACACTACAATCCCTCTTGCTTTCCGGGATGCTTACTGCAAACCTCTCCCGGATTCGTCGTACGAACTCCTTTAAACTCCTGCTAGGTGGGTATATTTACTTGTTCAAAAAAAACCAACAAACACTAGGCAAAATTAACCAGTATATTGACTGACAATTAAAATACGAATTGGTCACCGAATAGGCTTTTCCTTTCCAGGATTTCTTACAAAAAAAACCACTCTATTTGCTAGAAATACCTCCTAGTGAGATATAATAAAAAAAAATAGGTGGCCACCCTACCGTTGAAACTCTTATTATAAAGCAAAAAATCCACCTATTAATGAAATATACACATACCTAATCCTACGTAAATCTACAGACATGAACTTAATAACGAACTTATAACTAACCTTGACCAATCCTGCAGTTGGAATCAGCGAATTGGTTGACCTCTTAACTCGCGTTATCTTCTGGGCCCGTCGCGTCGTTTGGTTACGATGAAATACAATGCGTTGCCTATTGTCGGTGTGATCATGGGCAAGTAAATAGTGGTTACCCCGGTGGTCCGGGGAAAAGTCGACACTTATTGCTTATGCTCGAAACGATTTCCAGTGAGCACCTTTACCGCACTAAAATCACCGATTCTCACCGTATCGACCGCCCTTTGCTAATCACTTCTTAACCAATTTATTTATACCTCGACCCGTACCAAAACCCTTTGCCGGACGCGGAACTTAACAATTTAATTTAGGTACAGGGTAGCGCCTTCGCGATGTGCCACTTTCTGACATTCACCAAATAGTTCCCGGCGTCTGTACTTCACCGGAAAAATTAAGCAAAACCTCTATTATCGGCGGCGTGGTGACTTCCACGATCGCCGCGATAATTCTCCCCTTTACTTTCAAACTATCCCCCTGTGATTTTCCTTTTGACACGCCCGAATTTTACCACGCGCCCCAAAATCTCCAATTAACTTTGAATTCCTTGAGGCCGAATCGCCCTGATTGGTTCAAATTAAATTACAATTCTCCGTCCGCTTTACCACAAAAAAAAATCCCTTTTCCAGGAATCGCCGCTGTTAGCGATCGATACGGTTCGATTCGAATTATATATGGGACATAGTATAAATGAGCCCTGTTAGTTTCGGTAATAAATAGCAACCAAAAATTGGAGGATTAATTAAGCGACAAAGGACCTCTTGACGCCCCCAATAGCAAAGTCTAATACATACCCGCCTAGATCTGACACTTTATATTTCTGGTTCAGGTCGATTTACTCAGAAATGCTGACACGGGGTTGTTTATGTTGTCTTATTGGTTTTAACGTAACTGTCCCATGACCGGTGGACACACGTGTGATGTTATTGCCGGACCCTTTTTTTTTCGAATTCCGTAAAATCTATATTCTAACCTACGCTAAAGTATCTACTATATTGACTAAACAAAAGAAAACAATTTAACCTACCTAATCTACCTAATGAATATACACGGGGCGTTACATGTAGATAAAACAATTGTAAATAAATATAGTGAAATTGTTTTTAATATGGACGCAAAGAACCTAAATGTTAAAAGTAGATAATTTGTTGCAATAAAAATAACATAAAAAGATATTACCAACGAGCCAGCACTAATGTGGTGATCTTTTGTAAACGGATCTACAAAGTGAGAATATTTTTAGCGCATTTTTTAAGAATTTTTGTCCGTCGTCCGCCCGGACCCACTTCTGCCGTTTCGAACTACTTCTACGGGAATGGTCA